TTGACCTCTTCCCTGTTTTTCTTATTTGTGCACAACTTATTCATAACAATTTAATGGTTAATTATGTTCTACCTGAGAGGCTTCTTACACCTTTCTGTTCTTCTGCCCATATATCTCTGACTACAAAGGACCCACACAGCATTGTGCTGCAAAGCTTTAAAATGCAAACTTAGTTAAAACTAAGGCCATGAACTAAAAACTTTCCGAGTTATATACCAGTTATATACCATCTTGATGGTATGTAACAACTTCAGAATGCACTTTCTCTCTTTCTAGTGGTTATTTAGTCTCTCGTACGGATAGAAGCCCATATACAGCTAGACATACACTAAAACCAGGTACACTAACAGTAACAGGGTCATCACAACATTTGAACATACTACTGCAAAGGAAGCTGCTTTAAGGGAAAAGTCAAGAGAAAATGCAGGTTAATGCAGACATTCAGGAAGTCTGGAGTTCCACCACCATGTTCTTCAAGTTTGTGAAGTTTTTTTTCTTCTTTTGCCTCATAAAAGGAAATGACCCAAAGGAGAATTGACTTCAGCTCCTAGACCTGACTGGGGTTCTATGACAAATGCCACGAATATACACTTGCCTTATCCTTACCCTCCTCGCCAAGCAGCGGAGATGTAGTACTGTGCCTGATCTCATGCAGCCATTGTTATGCTCATATAACGTTAATCTTCAAATGGTTGCATTATAAAAACCAAAAAAAAACAAAAACAAAAACAAATAAATCACATGGAATTTAGCAGCAATAAGGTCAATAGCTTTTCTCACATGAAAAGCAAAAGGAGCTAATGAAGGAAGGAAGATTTCCAGAAGGCTTCCATACTAATAGCATCTCTATACAGTATGGAGCTAGATGAATAAAACTTAAGCATTTTACCACAATGTTTCCAGTATTTATAACATAGGCTTTATCCAGGATATTAAGGCAATAGTGAAGATGCATTTATGGTGTGTAAAACTGCCCTACCTCAATTTAGTTCATTGCTGTACAGAAAAGGAACAAGGCATAATAGTATAAGATAGTTTGCAATGGTATAACTAGAGCCAAGGTAGGCTGGTACTAGCATGATTACCTCGATTGAAAAAGGTCACACCCCTAGCTGATACAGCTGCTGGTAAAGAACAATATTTAGATAAGACCTTACGAAGTTACGGAAGGGAGATTGGATGGCTATGAAAAACGTGTAAAAAAAAAACGCCCTAAGAAATTTAAAAAGGTGGAAAGGAAAGCTATTATGAAAATGCATTTGTTAAATGACTCTCACACTTCACAAAGTAAATTCTGCAACAACCTGGAATGCTATTGGAGCGCATGTCTGAACTTCCAATAGAATCAGAGAAGCTGGCTATCACATCTGAGTGTGAAAGATGTCACTGATAAGCTTATGACAGAAAACATGAAGATACAGACTGCACCAAACTGCCCCACGCAAATACAAATGGTTCAGACTTATGCGAGAACTGTGTGCTTTTTAGGCTAGCTGTACACTTTTTCTGACTATATCAGCTCATCTAATAAAAAGTACGACTTTTTCCCAAATGCTTGGGTTCTCCTGTACCCTGGAACTATCGCAGCTACAAGACATACATAACTACATAAACTTTAATGACTGTGCCAAGAACACAAAGATTAATAAAGGTAATAATTTTGCTTCAAATATGCTCATAAGTACAAGCGATTCTTCGTTTTCATAAAATCCTATGTGTAGCTAGAATATATGACACAACTTGGAAAAGAGAGCAGTAGAAAGCAAAATACATAAAGAAATACAGAACTGGCATGAAGCACCACATTTCCAGCCAGCTCTGAGATCAAAGGATGAAAAGTTGTACAGTTTCTAAGAGAGCAAGTGGGAAGCACAAAGCAGAGCTGCACCTGCTATGTAAACTGAATAACTACCTTGACTGATTTCCCTTCCTTGGAAAAATGGGAAGGCAGAAATAAGGTGGCCAGTCTTTCGGGGATTTATTTCAACAAGTGACATTTTCTCTTAAACCTATTGAAAGTCTAAAAAAAATACTGTTTACCTGTAAAAACCATTGAGTTGAGAGGTCTGAAATTACCAGTTGTTCATGCTGTTGCCTTCAGAGATTTCCTCTGAACCTTGAACAATGTAGCTACCTTCAAATTACACTTTTCAGGGCACTGGTGCAGCCCACAACTTTCAAACTGATATAGTTACACAAAAGAAAATGACTGGTAAACTAAATCCGTAATTCTACCAGTTAAATACCAAACTCTCTTTCTCTAACCACTTGGGCTTTCTCTAGTGGGAGTGAAAGCCGCACACAAAACAGTCACTGTCAGCTAAAGATACTGGTCTAATGACATAAGAAAATAGGTATTTCAAGGTGTTATTTCTACACCTATATCATCCTTCTGCATCCTCAGCCGTTTTCAAAGTAGAAAAGCATTAACCACATCCAAAGATTATGATGGACAAAATATAACAGAATGCAAATAAAGGCTACGAGCCAAATGAACAGGGAAAATGCAGTATCTGTTGTCAATGGGAGTATACCAGAACTACAAAAGGAGTCAATGATAGGTTTTCAATGCTCTGAAGGTTTTGTACCATCATCCATCACCACAGTACCTGCTGCATTACAGTTTGGTCAAGGATTATTGATGTATTCTCTAAAATGGGGACGGAGCAAGCAAATCAAAGTGTATATCACATTTCTTCTTCATCTATATGCTGGCTAGGTGCTTGGATACAGAAGTTTCAGCTGAAGATTATTCACCACTTAAAGCTATCCTCAGTTGCTGTTTTGGACTGTATCATAGCTGTTAAAAACATATGTACAATAAGGATACAAAGTACATAATCTAATAATGATTACAGCCCTTGCCATCTTCAAAGTACTTTGAAAGTAGCTGGATTAACAGTAAATTACTAATCCGAAGAAGCTCAGCATGCTTGTCAGAAATGTATGGGAATTACGTCCTGAGCAGCAGCCACTGGTTTGTTACACAATTTATGTGGAATAAAGTATTTTTTAACATACAGAGGGAAAATATAAACTATTTAAAGCATATATTGTTCTTGTTTTGTTTAGTCATTGATCTATTTTTAATGGGACTCAGCATCAACCATAAAATCATTACTTGATGGTAAGTTGAAGTGCATTATAATATTTGTTTAGTAAACTATATTTAGATAGCAATAAACTGCCTATTTTTCAGAAAAATTTAATGACATCTTTTAATCTCAGTAAGTTACATATTGCTAGCTATAAAACACTGAAACATCTTTTTTGTGCACCTGCAATCAATTTATAATAGGCCGAAAGTCAAATGATTTTTTTTTCCACAGTCCATCGGTGACCTATGCTCATCTATTTCTCTTTATAAATTGCAGGAAGCTCTGGTACAGTAATGATTCTAGCAAGTGTGTTATCAACTGGGAAGTTGATAATTAATACTTTGATTTGATATAAGTGATGCCCATGCAGTACTTGAACCCTCTATGTATCCACAAAATTGCAACTCGAAGGGGGTTACTTTGAACTGGACCCAATGCAGCTGCAGGCCCTGAAAAGTGAGACCGCCTCTGGGCAAGCATCCCATAGCACACTGCAGTAGGGTGGAGGTCTAAATTATAAAGGATCTATCAAAAACCTTCAGTATTCTCAGAGAGAGTGGAGATTTTCCTGTAAGTCAATTTGCAGAGAAGTTTGTGTTTCATAACTGACAGTCCTGAATTAAATTAGTGTAAATTGAATTAGTGTAATCTACCTAGTGTTTAGTTATAACTACATAGGGATACATCTCATCCTTGTCCTGACAGGCTTCACTCAAAAACTGATGCTCAGATTATTCCCTAACAGAGACAACTGAGATGAGAAAAGAGTCTCCTTAGGCTCCTCTGTACTCACTGGAGAAACAATTTTCAGTCACACAAAGCCTTTCATTCAGCAGTATCAGATTTTACTCCATTACTGTTCAGCTTTAAATATCTTGGTAGATAGGGAAAATAATTAAAATCTCTTATACACTGATGGGACTCCGACATGAAAATTTTAAGTGATGCAGAGAATTCTAGTCATCTAGTTATTCAGGTGTTAATACCAGGAGCCATTTGGCAAAAAACCATCAAGCACCTTGTGATTTGAATCAAGATTTTAAGAGCTAATTAAGCTTTTAAAATAACTGCAATACACTTTTCATAATTGTTGCAGACTTGCCATGCTATACGTAGTGTGCTAAGAGTCTTCATTAAAAAAAAAAAAAGACAAACTCAATAAAGTGAAATCATTTTTAATTCCCTTTTCAAATGTGCACTTGAATTCAGTACAGATCTGTAAGGCACTCTCAAAAGCAACCAACATTCTTCCCAGAATAATGAGAGTCATGAGACAATGGTATGTGCATAAAATATAACCTAATCTATAACTGATAACGAAATCTGAATGTTCAGGTTTTGGATGCATTGCAATGTAATGTCATTTCTGTGTCACGACACTACTCAGACACTACTAAATATTGGCACTGTAAATGACTTCTCATTGGGGTTGGGGCTTGTATACTCTTCATATCCCAGTAAAAAATAAACTCTTCAATAAATAAATATATAAAATAAATATATGCTATCTGAAGATGTATAAATAGGTCCATCCTATGAAAAGTTCCAGCTGTCCGTGATATATTGACTTCTAAGGTCCAGCACTGAAGTGGAGCCACTACGACTTCATATACAGTTCCCAAGGTTTATCATTATTTTACAGTTTCTCTCTTACTATTTCTTCCAGCTATTCTCTGATGATGTAGGTAGTTTTTCGCTAAGTTATGGACAGTGAGTAATCCAGACAAAACAGGCAGGAGTTTGGTATTTTAAAATAAGTCACACTCCAACTTCTCGCTGGTTACTGGCTACCACACAGTTCAGCAAATTTGAGTGAGGCTGGTCCTCTCTCAGCTTTAAGGCTTTGTCTCCTAAATCCAAATGCCAGGAAATAGAGGCTCTGCTGTCACTAAGTAGCTTCTTCAAATCCAGTACTGTAGAATTCTGCAAATTCTCCACGCGGATATTGCCACAGACAAAGCAGTAGGATCAAATGTCTCCGGGATGGGTCTTTTTCGAACTTCTGTCCCTCCTCAGCTGTATCCCAACACATCCTTGTACAGTTCTGGAACTCTTTCAGGATCCACGGGCCTGGGCAAGAAATGCGTGAATTTCTGGTGTCTTTTGGACCTTGCTCCATCTCTGGGGGTACCATCTTTGTTAAGTGCTACAAAGTATCGTCGCCCTGAATCTCCATGTTTGTACACGTTGGATGAGTAAGTGTTGTACCAGTTTTCCTCAAATTGTTCCCTGAAGATGCATTCAGAAGTTAGCTTCTCCTATAGAAACAAACAGAAAAGAAAAATGGGAAGTCAAGCCATTTTCAGCAACCAGTGACTAAATATCCCAACATACTTATGAAACAAAATATGACTAAAGTAAATAAAATGTTTTAGGCTTTCTGCTTCCTTACTTTTAACAAATCAAACCCAAGAAGAGTATGTAGACCTGAAATGGAGTTTGGAAGACTAATTTATCCTTTACTCATTTGAGAATTGAGCTGCTACCTATACAGTTTTGGACTTAAAGACCAGTTAGAAGAATCCCTCTAGGGATTCACGTGTGATTTTTCACGTGTGATTTAACTAAAATTCACCTGATCTCCAGGAAATATATTATGGAGAGGTCTGTCTTGGGCTATCTACACCTTCTAGAAATGAGATTTGGTGGAGGGACTCAGGTGCCACATAGCAGATCGGGAAGGTACAACCATGTGTTCTTTGTGGTATACTTTACTTCTCACATTTTAAACAGGACTGACCGCAACAAAAGGTAGGTAGGTGGTTACTGCTTTCATTCTGTATTGTGTGTTGCACAAAGAAAAGCTATCATCAGCTCAGTTTCTAAGCTGTATGGCCCAGTGTAAGTGCAAGAACTATGCCAGCTGGTCACCATTTCTTATCTGACCAGAACACCAGATAACATCCCAGGAAAGCCTTTAATACTAATACTTTTAGGCCAGAATCCATAAAGGATGTTGATGATGCATAGTGTCACAAATAATGATAACACTCATTTTTCTCCTTTTTGTTTAGAAAGCATTGATCACTTTCAATATGAAATATGAGGTATAGGTAAACTATAAATCAGTTGGTCTCAGAAGCAATAGAAACAGCAGTGATGGACTTGAAATATCTACTTGCTGGTGCCAAAAACTTTGCCCTAAAACAATGAGGTATTAACTGCAAGAAGAGACAGAATATTTTATCACAGGACATCACAAAACTTGGAAGGAGCGCAAGACCATTACTCTATTAGTACTGGGGTGGGAGGGAATCAAAGCTTGTGTTCTACAGTGTCAGGTTGAAGTTATTCATTAGGATCAGATAACTAATGAGTACAAACTTATTTTCATTCTTAGACACAAACATTCCAGCGTTTGGACTGACAGGTACTGCTGGTACTCTTGTCCCATTCAGATTTTGTGAATAACAGTGGTACACAATGGTGACATATGGTATTGTATTTTTTTCCTCCAACAGTTGAAATAATGCTTTTACATTAAAAAGCTGGTACCCGGAAGTATCATCAGCTGATTTATAAAGCTGCATTAGGCTACACGTAAAGTAAGTCAGGGTATTATATTAGTTGTTGTTTATTTGTTCCATAGCTACCCTTCTAGCTCTTTTGCATGTGCATTAAATACTTCTAATGATAGAGTATGCACTGACCATGATAGTTCTACAGGGTTAACACTTACAAAGAAAGTTATATATAAGGAGACTTAAAGGCTTTTAAAATAGCTAGTTTAAATATCTATCTTTGTCTTAATCTAAGAGGGATACCTCTTTTCAGTTTTCTTCATCTAAGACAGAAATTTTTCCCATTAGATCTTCAGCATCCAAGTCAATACCATATGCTTTGAGAATTTAGTATATATTTCAACAGGAAAAGATGGTTGTGTTTTGAAAGCGAAGACTACCTAAGCTAGCTGCCCGAGCTGTTTGCTCAGTGCTAGAAAGGGAATCGAAACCTAAACATGCATGAGCTGACCCGAAGGTAGTACTTACAGATCCGTAGAGTTCTCCCTTCTCGTTCATTCCGAGGTAAAGGCCGCTGTCCACACCTCTAATGCTGACCAGTCCCACCGCCACACTGATGAATTCTAGGATACCTGGACACACACCCAAAGGAAAAAAGAAAAAAGATGGCTTTAATTAAACCTGTGATAAGACAAAAAAACAAAAAAAACACCCAAGAAATACATCCAAAATATAGTTAAATGTGACAGAAAATCACATTTATTATAATAAATGTAGCCTACGTTTTCTTAAATTCCAAATAATGAATGGAAAAGTATATAGTTTTCACAAGAAAGCAGTCTGAGAAGCCACATATTGGAAAAATGCTACATTATTTAAAGCAATCTTTTTATTTTTGAACAAGAAAGGATTCTATTCATCACTGAGGCTAAAGCCTTCAGTACTATACAGTTGCAATCTGTAATGACTATACACTGTTTGCTGAACTTCCTACTCAAATACTGGAAGATAGGTTTGAATAACCTGAAAATATATTTTACCTTCTCCATAGCATTATCTTAAAAAAACATTTCTATTATTAGACCACTTGAATGGAAATCAAAGTACAGATGGGAATTTTATAAAACAGAATCTACCCACAGAAAAAAAAAGTATTCGCCAGACATCTTATCTAGCATATGGGCCCACACCTCTTGACATAACTTGCTATCATCAATGCAGGCTTTTCACGTGCATGAATTATGTTGCTTATTTCCTAATGTCTGAATTTTAGCACTGTTTATACCACATTGGTCCCAAAAGTAATATATATTAATACAAAGTAATCAAGAGCATGGGGCGTTACATGAAGCCTGCCATTTGGCAAGTATATGCCCAACATATTTGATCAATTGATATGCACTGATTACATTACGTAGGAAAGAAAGGGAATGTGTGAACTGGCTTTTTGAAAGTTGTTAACAGCATAAACGAAGCCTCAAAAAGCAGTTGCTCTAGAATCATACCTAAGGTTTTGCTCTGCAGCAACAAACCTACACAACATTTAACCAAATCTGAATCTTAGGAAAATGTTTTAAAATAGTTTAATTTTGACTATGTCTTTCTGTCTTTTTTCTATATTTGTGACTACTCTTTTTCATTCAGGACCATTTTTCACTCTAAGACAGATGGACTGTCTGGATTATACAATAATTTAAAATGTTTCGAATTTTAATTGTGCTTTGGCATGTTTCTTATTTATATTACCAAGCAGCAAAGGAAACAAATCCTTTATAAAGGGAAGGATTCGAAATCCTATGCATGCAAATTGTCATAGGCTTTCCAGCTCCTAAAGCACAAAATCCCACAAAAAGAGGTGGAGGTATTTTGTCTTTCTGGTATCATTTTCAAAGCCACCCTTTTTCAAAACTATAATAAGCAGGTGATTCAACCCACAAAGCAACCACATCAGACAAACCTGCAGAGAACAGTGGTAGGATAAAGGAAGAACATTTCTAAAAAGCCCAGCAAGCGTTTGATCTGGGGCTAATTTTTTTTCTTTTTAAGTGAGGATTTATTTCATGTTTACATGCTGTAGGAAGTCTTCCTTCTAAGAAGGACTTTCTGTTTGACTACTGCTCTTTTACTTCTGAAAACATCCATGTGTTATAAAAGCAATTAAGAGCCATTCCAGCAGATTGTTTTGACTATGGGAAAGATGATAGGAAACTCTTTAATCACCTTTTTATGACTGCTAAATCAATGCACACAAAAATTCACGTGTAGTTGACAACAGCAGGTTTGTTCAGATGTTCAGCTCCTATACCCATTATTTAGGATTTACTCTTATATTGCAGCACACGTTTACATTCTTGGGTTGTCCCCTCCTCCCTTTGGCTTATTGACCAAAAGCACCACACACCATGAGCAGAAGAGGTATTTCAGGCCTCCCTGCTTCAACTTTCTGCTCTGCAAAACAAAGCAGTCTGATGCAGAGGAAAGGGTGAACGTGACCGAGCCTATAATCTGTGTTAATTTATAAAGACTCAAGAGACTGCGATACAGCTAGTTTATACAAAGCGGTGCGACTGACCCTCTCTTTCCCCTTCCCCGCGAAGCCCGCAGGCACATCGCTGCGCTCACAGCCCCGGGCACACGCAGGGGTCTCGCAGCTGGCCTAGGGTGCGCAGCCCCACCTGCACCCTCGCTCTGACGCCCAGGAGCGGCCCCAGGGCTCCGAGCAGGAGGGTGCAGCCAGTGCTCAGCCCGGCCCCTCGCCCACCTGCCCCCGCCCCCTGCG